GTTTCTACTATCATTAAAAAGTATTTCCGCGAAAATAAATAGGAAACAGGGTGAAGCATCTATCTACTTGAAGTCTCATCACAATGGATACATCATGTAATTGTGGTATTTGAAGCAAAGCGTCTATGAAATGGGCTACATGCCTTTCCGGTTTCCCAAGATTTCCAAGGGCTGCTAACCGTACTTTCAGCATATGCGAAAAGCAAACTAGCTCGATTGTTACACAGCTGCATGAGCCAAAATAATCAAGACGTAGCTGCCTGAATTACTTTTAATCGGTGTCGGTTTGATCCTAGGCAAAGGCCAAGCATTTCATGGGTCGGCGGGTGTCCCCTGAGCTATCCAGATATACCGTTGCTGGGACCTGCGCAATTCAATTCCTAAATCAGTAATTTTTATGTGTATTGAGTAACATTTAGGCTGTTGGCTTGATCCTTCTGACAAAGATCACGAACATCCTATATTGGATGGAACATCAGCAGAAGATATCACTGCCCAAGCAGCCGATGACTACGACTCCATTTATGAAGAATATGTGATGGGACCAAGACGCGGTCGAAAAAACGCAGCTAGAATGAATCGTAATAAGTATCAGCCGTTTGTTGTCAGAAGCTCTTCTATGGTTTCTTTGCGTGAGCTGCACTCTTACATTCTTCATTTTTTTTCATTTGTTCCATCCTTTCTTTTTAGCTGATGACGAACAACATCATGTGACGGTACCGGCAGTAACGATGTCATTCTTGCAAGAGAATGAGCGGAAAACGGCACCTGTTGATAGTTTTGGCTATGGTCTGCCGGAAATCGTGGGAACGAGCGATGTTACGGTCCCGTTGATTGTGGGGGATCAAAGAGTATGTTATATATTTAGTTGAGACGTCTACCCGCGACTTCTAGATTTTTATCAATGTTTTCCTTCAGTCGTGTAGTATAGTAATACGACAATGATTCGATTCTCTGAAGATTTTTTCAAAAATTTTTTTGGGTGTTTTCTTTTATGTCACCGAAAAACTTGCCTACACTCTCAACTTAATGATCGACTCTGTCAAATAGGTTTCCTTTGAAAATATCTATATTGTATAGTA